ACAGATTGCTTCATTGTACTTAATACCTAAAAATATATTAATAGACCCAATGCTAGTGATTCAAGTTAGTAATCCTAGCTACTCAGGAGGCTGAGAGCTGAGGATCACAATTTGAAACTAGCATGGGCAGAAAAGTTCAGGAGACTCTTATCTCCAATTGGTCACCAAATAGCTGGAAGTAGAGATGTGGCTAAAGTGGTAGAGCACTAGCCTTGAACAGAAAGCACAGAAACAGTGCCCAGGCCCTGACTTCAAGCCCTAGGACAAACACGAGAGAGAGAGAGAGAGACAGAGACAGAGACACAGAGACAGAGAGAGACAGAGAGAGACAGTGAGAGAGAGAGAGAGAGAGAGAGAGCGCGCAATGGAAAAGACCTGAAAGACCTGATAAATATTGAACAAGGTAATTCTCTCCTCATACCTCTTGTTTAGAAAAGTCTACATTGTCCCAAAAAGTATGTTTTTTTAAAGAAGAATTGAATTGAGATCATGAATTCAAACTTCCAAATTTACCTTTGATTAAAAAAATAAGTAAAACAAGAAAAGCATTTCCTTTATGGCCAGAGATGTTGAACATTTCTTCATGCATCTGCTGGCCATTTATATTTCTTTTGAAAAGTCTCTCTTTGAGCCATTAGCCCATTTATTAATTGGGCTGTTGTTTCTTGAGGGTTTATGGGAGATTAATTTTTAAGCTCTAAATATATTTTGGATATTAAGTTCTTGTCTGATACATAGCTGGTAAAAATCTTCCCCCATTCTGTGGAGCATTTATTTTGTTAGCTATGTCCTTTGCCATGCAGAAACTTTTAAGTTTGATGCAATCTTATTTACTCAGTCTTTCTTTGCTTTGCTGTGTTTCTGGATCTTTACTTAAAGTTTCAAACTGTGCCTATGAGCCCTAATGTTTTCCCTACCCCTCCCTTTAATATGTTCAGGGTGTTACATTGAGATCTTTAATCCATTTTGAATTGTTTCTGGTGCAAGGTGATATATAAAGATCTAGCTTAAATTTTCTGCATGTGGATAGCCAATTGTTGAATAGGCTGTCTTTCATCCAACCTGTGTTTTTTGCTCCCTTACCAAATATTAGTTGGTTATATGTCTGTGAATTCATTTCTGGGTCATCTATTTTGTTCCATTGGTCCTCAGGCCTATTCTTGTGTCAGTAGCAGGCTAAGGACAGTCTTAAGAGAGGAACACAAAGACACAATACCTATGTGCACGTGATCATATAAAATAATATTTATCAAGATTAACTCCAGGAAATGGAAACAAGAGGTTTTTTTTTTCCTTTGTTGCTGTTTTTGTTTTCTTTTCTTTTTGTCTTATGTGTTCATTTGGGAGGGTAGGGAGGGTACAGAAATGGTAGGACAAAGGGTGAGCAAATGCAGCAGTGATACTCACTAGACACTATGTTGAAAATGAGCTCAAATGTTTTTTCTTTCTTGCTATTGTTTCTAACATATTTATAAGATGATTTTTTGTTACTTTATATGTCCCTCACCCACAGTATAACCCCTGTTTTCACTGTTTTTGATGTTGGTATAATTTGGGGAGGGGAAGGAAAAAACAAATTGTTTAAATAAGGATACAGGTGGACCCATTACAACAATGAGATGTACAAGTCGTTATGTCGAAAAATGAACTTTACAACTTTGGAGGGGGGGGGGATGGGAGAGCAGGGATGGTAAGAGGAAACAAAGGAGGAGACAACAATGCTTAATAAGAAATGTACTCGGGGCTGGGAAGGTGGCACAGTGATAGAGCGCTTGCCTTGCATGCCTGAGGTCCTGGGTTTGATTCCTCAGCACCACATAAGGAAAAAGAAAAAAGTCAGAAGTGGTGCTGTGGCTCAAGTGGTAGAGTGCTAGCCTTGAGCTGAAGAGCTGAGGGACAGCACCCAGGCCCAGAGTTCAGGCCCCACGACCGGACCGCCCCCCCCAAAAAAAGAAAGAAAGAAATGTACTCATTACCTTGCTCATGTAATTGTAACCCCTCTGTATGGTATTTTCACAATAAAAAAAACTTACTGAGAAAAAAATGAAAATGAGCTATACAGTCAAGAGAAAGGGTGACATTGTTTAAAAAGAAATGTCCACACTATCAGATATATGTAACTGTAACCCCTCTGTACATCACCTTTATAATAAGAATAAAAAATCATGAAAAAATAGAAAAGAAAAGAAAAAAATGTTGAGTGTGGAGATGCACCCCTGTAACCACAGCTACTTAGGAATAGATTGTTCAAGGCCAGCCAGGGCAAAACATTTGCAAGACTCATCTCAACCAACAAGCCAGGCACTGCGATTTAAACTTGTCATTCCAGTACGCAGGAGACAAAGATATGAAGATCGCAGTCTAAGGTCAGGCCCAGACAAAACAGTGTTGCATTATTGCAAAACATGAAGCAAAAAAAGGCTGGAGGCATGACTCAAGTGATGTAATGTCTGCCTTATAAGCACAAAGCTCTGAGTTTAAACCCTGATATACTCCAAAGGAGAAGGAAGAGATGGAGGAGGAGGAGGAAAAAGAAGATGAGGAGGAGGGAGAGGGGGAGAAAGGAGAGGGAGATATAAAGGAGGAGGAAAAAGGGAGGGAGGAGGAGAGGGAGGGAGAGGAGGAGGGAGGAGGAGGAGGAGGAGGAGGAGGAGGAGGAGGAGGAGGAGGATATATGCTACTGCCTCACCACCATAATCACCACTACCACTACCCCTGAGCCCAGGAAGGTAAGGTCACATGGACTGATGTGAGGAGGAGTTGAGTAGGGATGGATGGGACATAGAGAGTAGAAATAGGGTTGAGAAGCCCCAGGGAGCCACTGAAGGACTTCCGTGGAGGAGTCTGTATACTGTTCAGCCGAACGTTCCTTGTCTATAAATTAGAGACCTGATCTTTAGCTTATTTATCTGTTAGGTATTATCATAGTGAACAATAAGAGCAATTTTAGGGGTTAACATGAGCATTCAATGGTGCAAAATATGAACCTGACTGGTAGTAATGTCATTGTCATCATTGTCACCATCATCATCATCATCTTCATCTTCATCATTATCATCATTATCTAGGGTCCAAAACAGTGACATGCTTTTCCCCCATATTAGAACTAGCCTTTCTCTAAATCTATCTGAAATCTCAGACAAATGACAGTGGTTACCAGTCACAGGACTTGAATAGCACATCTGGTCCAATCTATTGTGTCAGAGGATGTGTGTAGGAGTGTGTCTAAATGTAAGTTTCCGCAACCTATGTCACTACTGCAATGTCATTTAGTGCTTGGCAAAATTCACAGAAAATATTACATGGACCTTCCAAATATGGTCCAGGAACCAATTCCCTTCTGAGAAAAGTATAGGGCCAGGCCCAGAAGCATTTAATGGGTATGAGCAAGCATTCAGGAGTCCATCATTTGAAATGAATTACTTATGTTAATTGGCTAGTAACGCATTTTGATTGCGAGTTAGAGTGCTAGCCAAGCCCTACTGGAATGTCATGTATTTTCCAACCTAAAATGTCACCATTGTAGGTGACTGTCACAGAGAGCCCCAAGAAAGCAATTGCTGTATGATATCCAGTTCCTGTGTGGCTGGAGCTGTGTGGTGCTGGATTTAATACTATAATCTGGAACATGTTGATTTGGAGCAATATGCGTGATTAGGTGGCTTAATTACACGTTGTAAGGGAAGCTGTGACCTTTCCAGTTCCATCCTGGAGGTGGCTTGTGTTACTGGGAGGAGAAGACAAATGTGTGTGGAGGGGGGGGAGCTTGACAATCACAACGTGCCTTTGTGTAATTATTCAAGTACATCCAATAATTGAAAAAAAAAAAAAAACTAGACAGCTGGGCACCACTGGCTTGTACCTCAGATCTCAGCTGAAGCTGAGATCTGAGGATCAAGATTCAAAGCCAGCCTGGACAGAAAAGTCCATGAGATTCTTATTTCCAATTAACCACCAAAGGGCTGAAAGTGGAGGTTCGGCTCAAGTGCTAGAACACCAGCCTTGAGCAAAAAAGTTAAGAGACAGTGCCCAGGCACTGAGTTCAAGCCCCAGTACTGGCGCGCACACACACACACACACACACACACACACACACACACACACACACACACATCTAAACAATGTCTTAGATATGAGTAGCCATCTCTTGCCCAAAAAGAAAAATTTGTAAGACTTGAACATTACCATTACCAGACATTTGCAAATGCTGAGCTTACAGCATCACATTGACCTGAGCAAGTCTCCTTCTTAAGCCACTTTAGGAAGCAAACCCAACATTAAAATTTTAAAACATGTGATTCTTGCCTATCAATCCATTATCTAAAAACCTTGTGGCTAGTAATTATGCAATCATCCCATATGTCATCAAAAATTAAAATAGTAATATAAATCTTGCCATTTGCAAGATGTTTCACATGAAAACAAATGATTTACACAATCATTGTGATGTTTGAATATAATGAGAGGAAGCAATATAAGAGAAGACAAAGCAGGCAGGGGTCATTCACCCAATTTTACAGGTGAAATAGCAAAGCAGGGAATATTCGGTGGTCTGCATTATTAAAATTAGGACATAAGCCCAAGTTTGTTTGGTACCAAGCCACAATTTCTTTCCCCTCTGGGGTATTATAAAGCCTGAGGATGAGACCTATAGTTGTGAGATACATTAATTCTGCCAAAAACTTGTGTTGTTTCTCTACTGCATGTGCCGCCAAGATCTCCAAGAATGAAATGAAATGGCTTGGCACCTTCTGTGCAAAGTTATCTAAGGGTTAGACTCGGTTTCCCTGCACAGAACAGATGGAGTTCACTAAAAGGGAAACTGTTACCTAGACAACCCAGACCCCAATCTTTTTCCCTCTAATAATTGAGGTGAAAGGTATGTTTGGGATCTAAATTGTGGATGTAGGTGACTTGATTGGCTCAATGGCTTTATATTTGAATGCAATCACACATAAAACCATAAGACTGAATAGTCTTTGTTCCAAAACATAAATTACCTCCAAAGCAGCATCCTCTGGGTCCTTGGCTGTTGCTCTGTAAATGACTGTGCCCAAGGCAATGTCTTCTACAACATAAATCTCAGTAACTGGCAGGAAATGAACAATAGATAAAGTTGAATGAGTTCCATCGCTATGATGATCTTAAATTCCTCACTCAATACTACAGTTTAGACCAAAGTTACAGCATTATGCTTGCTCAGTACAGGGGTTTGCACAGCTTGATTTCCATTAAACCAATTATATTATGAATAATAATGATAGACATCACTTATTAAGTATCTGTTACATGTCAAGCCTGGAGGAAACAAGTTTATACATTTAAATAAGAGTATTGTTGAACATTTTGGGCTGCTTACTAATGGCTAAGCACTTAACATCATTGATTATTATTATTATTTCTACCTCAGTGAAGTTTTCAAAGTCTGAATTACAGACTTCAGGTTATACAGCTAATCCATGAATAATTATCTGATTTATTTATTAAAGTTTTCTCTGTTTCCATAAAATGTGGGATGCTGATAGATAAACCTAGGACCTCACATACTGTAAGTACATGCTCAACCACTGAGCTACATAGCTACATCCCCAGCTCCTGATATTTTTTTCTTTGTTATTGTGTGTGCCAGTACTGGGGCTTGAACTCAGCACCTCATGTTCTTGCTTGGATTTTCACTCAAAGATGGTGCTCTACCACTTGAGCCACAGCACTGCTTCAGGGTTTTTGCTAGTTAATTGGAGATAAGAGTCTCCCAGGCTTTTCTGCCAGGGCTGGCATTACACCTGATCCTCAGATCTCATCCTCCTAATTCACAAGGATTACAAGTGTGAGCCACCAGTACCCAGCTCCTGTATGCTTTGATGGCAGTAGGATCTACAAACTACCCTTCAGCAGCTCAGGAATGTTGGAATAGTGTGAGACACCTGGGTGCCTGAGAAGGCCCATCCCTGCTGCTGCCCACCCTCATGCACCATTTTGCCAAGAAAGTACAGGTATTTCTGGACAGCAAAGAAGTCCACAAGGTCTGCATGGACTACAATCCTAACAGTGGTCTGGTATATAAGGAAAAGTTCATGGAACATCCACACACAGGAGTGTGCATGGAGCTCACCTTTTTAAGAAGTCAGAAGAGCATAATTAGACCTTGGATCTTCCCAAAGGTTTATCATCTATTGAGATAAGGGAAAGAAGGGAAACTAGCACTTACTGAGCACTTACTACAACGCTTGTCACTTTAAAACACTGCACCAGGAAGTATCATCAAGACAAAATTGATATCTCTGCTTAACCAATCGGAAGTTGAGGCTCACACAGGCCAAAATAACTCAGCCTAGTTAGTAACCACACCAGTGTTTGACCCTCACCTGGATAATAGATAACCTGAGCTATCCATATGAAGGAACAAAATATTTGACTACTAGAAAGGGAGAGTCAAGAGTAAGAGGAGCCAGGTACCAATGGCTCATACCTATAACCCTAGTTACTCAAGAGGCTGAGATCTGAGGATCACAGTTTGAAGCCAGTTCAAGCAAGCAGGAAAGTCTGTGAGATGCTTATCTCCAGTTACCTAACCAGAAAACCAGAAGTACCTTACTTATGTAACTGAAACCGCTCAGTACATCACAATAAAAAAAATTTTTTAGGGGCTGGGAAGGTGGCTCAGTGGTAGAGCGCTTGCCTTGCAAGCTTGAGGCCCTGGGTTCGATTCCTCAGTACCATATAAGCAAAAAGAAAAAAGCCAGAAGTGGCGCTGTGGCTCAAGTGGTAGAGCACTAGCCTTGAGCTGAAGGGCTGAGGGACAGCGCCCAGGCCCAGAGTTCAGGCCCCACAACCGGACCCCAAAGAAAAATTTTTAATGCTTTTTTAGATACCAACATAATTCTATTTCTGGACAACCAGCACAAGCAAGTTCCAGGATATTATTATTTCCTAAATAAACCAATTCTCCTGGAAAGTTGAAAAAAAAAAAAAACAGAAATGAAGCTGTGGCTTAAGTAGTAGAACACTACCCTTAACAAAAAAAAAAATGCTCAGAGACAGTTCCTAGGCCCTGAGATCCAAACCTAGGACTGGCACTGCAAAGGGAGCAAGAGTAAGACAAATGTATGGGGAGGAAAAGACATTGTGCTTAACCACACAACAAAGCTTCTAGCTTAAAGATTCAGATAAATGGCTAATTAAATAATCATACAGGTAAGAGAATATTTAGTCTTTTAGTACAGTGTAATCAAACAAATAAGTTGATAATCTTAAACATTATACAAGTTATTTCACTATACAAGTCTTTATAAGCCTTTAATTTTGATGATGGGAATAGGCTTTGAACCTATCTTCAGTGTTGTGAACATCACCTAAAGTAAGCCACCTAGAACTCTGAAGACAGTGCTTAGCATATAGTTAGGGCCACTAAATATCAGCCTGCTTAATCAGTACTGAAGTTATTAGTGTTTTCATGTCAGACTTAGAGCCATGATATCCTGAGAGCTAATAGGACACGACATAAAGCCTACATCTGTGTCCAGAGCCTTCTTCCGTACCTTGATCTCCCTGTGCCAGGGCTCCAGTGAAGGTGGGTGGTTCATTCACATCTGCAATCTGGATGAGAACCATCTGGGATGTTGTTGCTCCTTGGTTGTCTTTGGCATAAATCACCAGGGAATAGAGTGCCACTGTCTCAAAGTCCAGCATGGGTACTCCGGTGGTAAATAACTGGATTAAGGAAGAGCAAAACAGTGAAGCCAGCTCCTGGCTTTCTAAGGAGATATAAATCTCCGTGTGTGTGTGTGTGTGTGTGTGTGTGTGTGTGTGTGTGTGTGTGTGTGTGTGTGTGTGATTTTTATGTCTATCATATAGATCTCTAATACCAATCAATTGTTCTGTTTCATTTTCTGAGATTGTGTCTCATTATGTTGTCCGGACTGATCCTGAACTCCTAGGCTCAAGTGATCCCTCAGCCTCCCAAGTAGCTTGGAACTACAGGCATCCACCACTATGCCTTATTCACTCAGCATGTTTTTTTTTTCTTTTTTCTTTTTTTGGGGGGAAGGGGGGTCTCACTATAGAGCCCATATGGTTCTTGAACTCACAGTGTACCTGACTCAGCCTCAAAAGTGCCACTAAAACAAGCTAGGAGTCAGATTTCTCTTCATGTAGTTCTTCCCCAGAGAACCTTAACTAAGTCAAATGCCTATGACAGATGCCAAATCTATGGTTCTATATTTCATGGTTCTTATATTTAAAATCTATGCTTGTGCTTGTATTTAAAGTCTATTGCTATGCTATAAACCATTAATTGTTATGAGGATACAGTATTGCCTGAATCTGACCAATTAGTGTGGTGTGTGTGTGTGTGTGTGTGTGTGTGTGTGTGTGAGAGAGAGAGAGAGAGAGAGAAAGCCAGAAGGTGGCCTTCTACCACTGGAGCCATGCCTCCACTTCTATCTTTTTGCTGGTTAGTTAGAAATAAGAGTCTCATAGATTTATCTACTCAGGCTGGTTTTAAAACATGATCCTCAGATCTCAGTTTCCTGAGTATCTAGGACTATAGACATGAGTCACCAGCACCTGGCTGACCAGATCTTCCTACATATCCATAAAATAAATGGATCTTGATGGCCTATAGGAGTTTTAGAATAATTTGGCAGACTATAATGTCCTGAGGAATGAAGGTCAAGTTAATCACCTGCTGTAGGCGGTGAGTAAGGTTGATAAGTTTATTTTATAGCCCCCTGGTACCAAGTACTAACACTGCTCATCTACATACTTACATCCCACAGGTGTGTGGACCTACGAGCTAGCACAAATGGATGCACAGCAGGACTGGCATTAAGAATCACGAGGTCTCCCAGCAGAGAAGTGTGAGGCGAGACAGACACACTGACCACAGCAACCCGGCTGTGTGCAGAGGCATTTTCTGGGACAGGGCTGCCATTCTCAATGGCAAAGTTTGGAGCAGCGACAACATCTTAAAAGAAACACAAAATTTTACTTCTAGTAAGTCTTTTTCCCACATTTTGAAACCACAAAGGAAAACCTTGATAAATAATGAGCTCAGGTTTTTATTTTCTACAAAGCTTTTGAAAATCAGTTGAGTTGGCTTGGTAGAGTCAAGGACATGAAAACTTAGCTTACTTGCAAGCTAATAAGTTAGCCTGCCATGATTGCCTGGATGTGGGCAGAAGACATGCGACTTCTGGCTCAGAGATAAAAGGATTTCATTACCAATGTCACCAATGTAATAAGCAGTTTGCCCTGCATCTTCACATTCTTTCCCTGGTTCCTCAAGCCCAGGACTCAGGTCCTGGGACAACCCAAGCTGTCTTTATAGCAGAAACCCAGCACCTGCCCCTGTTCTCCATGTTCACTTCTATATGTGTTGCTTACCGAGAACATTTCCAACTCTGCCCCGGGAGCAGGTCAACCTTGAACAGAAAAGAGTCACTGCCCCTGGAAACACCCCTCACCCAGTGGGCCACATGGGTGTGGCATACAAATAGCTCAACGATGTCCTCGCCCTTACACTGGGTAACTCCAAGATGGCTTCAACACCGGATTCCTGAATTCCTCAATTGAACCAAGCTCTCCTTGCCCCCAGATGAACATGACATACAATACACCCTGAATCCATTGCTTGATCTCTCTTCCTAATCCTCCTATGGTTCCCCCCCCACCCCCCGCCCCAGGATCAGCTCTCAAATAAATGACTCTGGAATGCTTCTTGTGCAGTTGACTTCCAAAAGAGTCTATCCTAAGGCAATATGATATAATCATCTTTTACAGTGCTCAAGAGTGGTACCCTCCTGTGGCTCAAGGTTGCCATTGACAACATGGACCTTAATGTAAGTAGCCATTTTTGTAGATGTTGTCAGCTACTTCTATAGGAAATACGAAAGCTAGCCATCTCATCAACATGCTAGAAATCGTCATGGAGATTTTTGCTTTCCTCTCAGCCATCGTTCACCCTCAGAATCATAAGTGTATTTTGTTTAGCTTTCTGTTGGCAATAGTTACACTCTGATTTTTATCCAGCTGTAGAAGGACTGATTCTAAAGCAAATGGTTGAATCCAACAGTTAAGTGGTCTTATGAAGTCAGTTCCTGTAACCATGAACCAAAAAATAGCACTTTGAAAAAATGGGTTGGTTTTATGCATTTAAAAGTTACATTTTGGGCCTGGCGCCGGTGGCTCATGCCTGTAATCCTAGCTACTCAGGAGGCTGAGATCTGAGGATCACGGTTCAAAGCCAGCCAGGGCTGGAAAGTCTGTGAGACTCTTATCTCCAATAAACCACTAGAAAATTGGAAGTGGTGCTGTAGCTCAAGCAGTAGAGCACTCGCCTTAAACTGAAGGGCTGAGAGACAGCACTCAAGCCCAGAGTTCAAGCCCCACAACCAACAAAAAACAAACTTTGGGCTGGGAAGTTGGCTCAGTGGTAGAGTAAGCACTTGCTTACATGAGGCCCTGAGTTTGATTCCTCAGCACCACATAAGCAAAAAAAGCTGGAAGTTGCACTGTGACTCAAGTGGTAGAGTGCTAGCTTTGAGTTGAAGAGCTGAGGGACAGTGCCCAGGCCCAGAGTTCAGGCCCCATGACCAACAAAAAAAAAAAGTTACATTTTAAAATTTGGGGCTTTGGGTTTTTTTGATAAAGCTGCAGTTTTATTACTTTTAATCAAATAAAAAAGTATATAAAGTAAATATAATTAGATCTATATATTTCTTCTTATCTCATCTAGTTACCACTTACCACCAAATTCCAAAAGTATTTATTGTTAAGTTTTTGGTATATATCTTTCCAGAACTTTCTAGGCCTAGGCCTGCATGTGAATACAGATACATTTTTATGAGATGCCTATACTGGGTCTTTGATTTTAGGGCCTCACAGTCTCACCTGGCATTTTTGTCATGGCAACTTCTCTACCACCTTAGCTACACCTCCAATTCAGCTTTTTGGCTGATTGGGATAGTCTTTGGACTGCTTTCAAACCTAAATCTTCATATCTTAGCCTCCTGATTAGCAAAGACTACAGATGTGATCCACCCGTACCCAGTTTAGATAAAATTTGAGGGGGAGATACAACATTTTTTGAATTATCCTAAAATAGTTGTCTAGAGCGATTTCAACTCAACATACCATGCATCTTGATCAATGTCACCCCTTTCATAATTTCCACCCATCTCTCCCAACCCCACCCATTCCCTCAGTTATCCTAGTTCTATTTTGACATATATACCTTGAATATTATGACTACATTCGCCTACTATTGCTTTCTCCATTCTTCAATTCTTCCTCTCCTTGATCTTAAACATCATCACCACCACCACCCCTACCAATAACACATGTTCCAGCTTCCTGGTATTTATTATGTTAAACTATAAGTTGGTTCAAAGGAGTTATACCTTTGGAATCTTCCCTGCATAGGACCAGACTTTAGTTCATATGTTCGTTTGTGTATGCATGTCTATGAGCCTATATAAATTTACCTATATATTTATAATTTGGATCTACCATATGAGAGAAAACACGTTTTCTGACTTAACATCATTTTTCTAGATCCATCCATTTACCTGCAAATGACATAATATTTTTCCTGATGGATACATAAAATGCCATTGCACATAGAAATACATACCACATTTTCATTTTCTTAAAAAGATCTTCTTGTTCATAGTTTCAGGGCATCTTGTGTCTTCTCCACAGTACATAGCATGCAGCCCTGCCTCTTTCTTCTCCTGGCTCTGACATCTACAGTATACTTCATCTTCAAATGCCCACCATGTACATTACATATAGTCCTTGCTATTACAGAGAAGTTCTCATAAATCTTTAGAACACTATGAATTTCTGCAGGATAGTCTCCTAGAGGTGGAAGGCTGGCTCTGAGTTTACAGATTTCAAATACTGGTAGAAATGGCTGATTGTCTTCCAAAGAACTTGCGCTGACCCTGTCTGTATCAACTGCATTTGAGAAAACATTTTGATTGACATAAGTTACAGCCACAGGGCCTATAAGGACATCAATGACCCACAATCAGAAGGGATAAAGGAAGTAAAAAAATTAGATTATCAAAGAATTTATTTCAAAGCTCTATGAACCAAGAGATACTAACCTGAAGCAGCAACCAACATGAGAAGTAAATGAAAACAGGACATGGTTTACTTGAAAGTCTGCTGGTCTTCAGAGGCACTGTGTTCAAGCCCCAGCCTTTGCTACCTCTAGGCAGATCGCTGTCTTGGTGACTGAGGAGTCTGGGGAAGGGGCAGGGAGAGTGTAAATCCTGTCTCTAGGCATCATGTACACACCTTCTCATGGCACAGTTCTTCTGGAGAAATCTGTAAATTGACACCTTCTCTCTCTAAGATGCTAAGTATTAGTAAGTTGATTTTGCTTTAGGCTAGATTAAGAAGAAACCCCCAGTTTAGATTCCCCAACTACAGAATTTTCCCACGTTCCTGGTTCAGCTAGGGTAGCCAGAATTCATTGGATTTATTTTACACGCATTCATCTTCAAAGGATTTCTGTTGACTAGTGACTCCAGGTCACTGAATTCGTCACTCTGTGTTGTGTTCTTCACAGACCCACAATCTCAGTTTACCAAGTTTGCAGAGGGCTTACAAGTTGGTAAGCACAGCAGATTAGAGACAAGATGCAAAAACAATCTAATCTTTGGCCGCGAGCCAATTGAATGCTGGCAAGTCTGTTAGAAGGTAGAGGAGCAAGCTTTAGGACCACTGGTGAGAAATTACTCTTTGCATGGAAAGTTAACACAAAAACAGTCAGGGGGGCACAATGATAGCGTTTGCCTTGCATGCAGGAGGCCCTGGGCTCCATTCCTCAGCACCACATAAGCAGAAAAAACCGGAAGTGGCACTGTGACTCAAGGGGTAGAGCACTAACCTTGAGCTGAGGAGCTGAGGGACAGCGCCCAGGCCCAGAGTTTAGGCCCATGACCGGCAAAAAAAAAAAAAAAAAAAAAACCAGGGCACCATGAATTGGTACCCACAAGCTAACTATGGCTTACAGATTTATAGGTGCAATCTTAATGTTCAATAGCATGTGATAGGCTCAGTATTCTACAGTGTGCCTCACTTCCCACCTCTCCCTAGTACATCCCACTGTTTCTCACATTTCCCTCCTTAACTCCTGTGGCGATTCATGTTTGCAATCTCTGATTCAGAGGTTTCAATCAATCACTGTCTCTATAGGAGTCCACTGTCGTTATGACTACTGAAATAGGATTATGCAATCTCATATGTGTTCAACAGAAAGATCATGTTGAGAACAAGAAAGATTGTGTTGGGATCAGACTTTGTCCGGCTCCAGGTGGCTCTTTGGCTTTTCAGAAAGAAAATTACAAAGTCCAGAGAAAGACTGCATGGGGATGGCTCCAAGCCAAGTCCTGTAAAGGATGGTGGAAAAGGAAACTAGACTGTTGGAAACCTTGAATGGGTTCTCTTTCTCAAGTCCTGCTGATTACTCCTCAGTTAAACCATTATAACTTCACAAGTGGACCACTGTAACCCTGGACTTCCTGGCCAAGTATCTGCCCTCTCTTTTCTTCCCCATGTCAAATGATCTTAGTATTGTGTTTCCTAAAGTTCACTGATGGACACTTGTCAATACTCCACACTGCCAACATCTCCAGCCTCCACTAACCACTTACCTGGTGACCTGCAACAACCACTTTTTCCTCTATAATGTGTTCTCCAAGCTATCTTCGTAAAACATAAGCCGTATGCTTTCCCTAGGTTCACACTACATTGTTCTTCCTGCCTTCTGCCATGCCTGGTCCAAATCAATCAGTGAACCTCTGTATACATAGTTGTCTCTATCCATAAGGCACCTCATCCAGACTTAATATACTTTGTCACCTTTCCAGTGTGAACTGTCTCATGTCAAATACTACCTTGTTAAGAGGTCTTCTTTGCTTCTTTGGGCAAACTATCCATTCCTGCTCCTCTCTA